GCTTAAGAACACTTTAGAAGTAGCGGCATTGTCAACCAAATATCATTTTGACAGTCAAAATCTCAAATTTTTTCAAAAAGGAATCATTTTGATAAAAATGTTAAAATGCATTTCTGATGTAAAATCGCAGTACGGAATGAATAGAAAATGGCTAGACAGTGTAGCATTAATATAAAACTGTGTGGCTAAGAGGGAGAACAAATCCTTAGTAAGGGATATGGTCTTCCCTGACTGCAGTGGTTGCGTTGCATCATTTGCCGAACTCAACACCAGATTATCTAACAGGGTAAGCGTTCTCATTCTTCAAGGAACACTTTTATCAGCTGTCTGGTGTTCTCTAGAAGGTAAGATTGTTCTACTAGGGAGATGCCTGGGTACGTTCATTGGGATACGCTCGCCAATCCATTCTGTGAAAATCTCACTTTCCAGGAGCTCCTCAACAGCATGAGTCCTATGTGGCCATTCATTGCTATTCATTAAAAAAAGTGGCAGAGCAAGTGACACTCCGAAAAAGACGCACGGGGGGCAAGGATAACTTTATCATTGTAATGACATCCGGTAAGTGAACCTCTGTGGAAATTGCTGAGCTCGGTTCTTCATAATGTCTCCCCATACAAGCTCAGCAGCACCAAACCATAGATCTCTTTTCCTGATGCTAGAGGGTTGGAGGTGTGTCCTTATTTCTCTCCATATTAACTTGGGCCAAGAAACGTTTGCCAGACTGAAACGACTTTCTTCAATAAAGAGAACATGACTCTAGTGATCCAGTGACTCTAGTGATCATGTCTTTGTGTTCTCAACACCACTGTAAACGGTGTCGCCAATGAGCTTCTTTGAAAGGTATGCAGCTTTCAGGACGGTGGCCGAACATGCGACCATTATTAAGTCGTCTGGCCATAGTAACCCGGAGCACCTGTTGTTCTGTCGCCGTGCGCAACTGCTGAGCATTGTTGCCCGCTGTCTGATTTCGACCTCTTTTCGCTTGCAGTCACCGTTGTTTTCATTGGCCAACCTTCATCAAAGGCTTTCTAAGCTCGTGAAACAAACTTTTTATTCATTACAAAATCTTAGGAGTTCACTATGCGCCTTCTCAAGTTTGTCAATCATTCTACCACGTATAAAGGCATCCTGATATTTTTTATGGCCATACTACATGTACAATCTTGCAGAAGAATGCCTGAAAATGCTCTATCCTTTTTTCTTCTAAAGTCGCTGACTGTTCGTGTTTTGACGTACCCTCTGATGCCATGGTGCTGGTATCTGCATATGCATCACCTCCTGCGTCTGCTTTTCGCTGTCCTTTCTAACAATTTCATGGTTGTATGCTGAAAAATGAATTTGTTGCTTAAGTCTTAGCCATTAGTGTATTATACTGAAGGCAGTTAACTTATTAAGTAATTAGATGATGGTCAGTCTCTTGTGTCAGCTATTTTGCTGAATTTGAGTGGTTTTTCTTTCATGAAAAATATTCTGAGTGCAGAGAGCTCAGAAGTTCTTGAAGAATATTCTTTTCATAGAACATGTTCTTTTCTTTTCTTTTCTTTTCTTTTTTTTTTTTTTTTTTTTTTTTTTTTGTACAGTAAAATTTAAAATATATGCACTGGATTTAATATTTATTATCGCAAATTCTTGTTGAGAACCAACAACTAGTTGAATATTAAATAAATTTTGAAGTTTTTAGTTTGTTTCAGTAATATTGATTATAGTTTTTAGACTGGGTTTTATGTTTAGTGGCAGAAAAATTAATGGTGAAATTGGTACATTTTGTATGTAAATGGTATAATTCTTATTCATTTTTTATTCATTTATTTTGGTAAATCATATAAATGTGTTCGATAATATTGCAAAATGATGAGTTATCTTTCAAAATACACTAAGAAACGGAAGCACAAGCTATAAATGAATTAAAAATAATATTGTACCATAGCAGATAGAATAATATTGCATTCAAGCAAAAGGCCACCAGCGGCCGAACACTGAACACTGGTAGTTCGGTCCGAGGTTCAAATCCCGTGAACGGGCTAGCTGCATGGGCATTTTCTTGGTTTTCCCGTGTGTAACGTGTATACGAGACTGTTTCCCTTAGGAAGTCCTTCACGGAGGCATCCCTTCCCTTAGGCAGATAGCCCTCGAGGCTTTGCCAATCGAATAAACCAAACCATTCAAGGAAAGATTTCATCCCCAAATTCATTTTACCTCATTCTTTTCTCGTATTTTCCTTCGTAATCTATTACATTTTTAAAACTGTATTTCACTGAAGGCTAATTCATACGACGTATTTTTTGCAAACAGTGTGATGGTTTAACATAGTAACAGTAACTAAATTTATATCGCTGATAGTAAGTGATATGATTTGTTTGATGCAATAAAAGTGATCCCCAGCTTAACAATGGTTCGATTTACCTTCTTTTCGACTTTGATTGAAAGCGATACGCATTCACTAAAATCTTAAAATCTCAATCATTTTCAGGCCTAGCATTATGTGCTTGTTATGATATATGTGTTACGGTGTGAAACACCGAAATCTGGAGAATGTCGATTTTCACCGGTGAATGTCAACATTCACATAGTCGCTTGGTGTATGTCCGAAATATTTTCCAAATCCTCTTATTTCTGACTTACACCGGTAAATGTCGACATTCACCAAGTACTAATGGTGAATGTTGAATAAGACTGTTATATTTCCTTCTCCGTAATTCATTCGCGAAAAAACGCACTTGAGACTCAGAATAAGAACTTAAAACACACAGTACATTCAAAATGAGAAAGGAAAATAATAGAAGTTATAAACTTACCAAATTATGTGATTCAAATCTTATTTATTGTAACAACTTAAACTGTTATGACACTTTGAATTGCACAAGAGGCCCTTGCTTTTATAACTGCATTTATTTGTGGAACACTTCCTTTTGGAATGGCAGCGTGTACATATACTCCTCTCTTTTCGACCTACACCAGAGCATATCTGTGATTGTCGACATACACCGGTGAGGGTCCGAATGTACAAGAATGTTAAGAAATATTCGATCTTTCACCGACGTATTTTGTGAATGTTGACATTCTCCGGTGAAAGTCGACATTCTCCAATTTCGGTCTTTCACGGTAACATATACATTGCTTAAGAGCAAACTTGTGTTTAATAGATACAGGATGTATACGATTTTATGTTTCAAAGCAGTATTTTCTAAAAGTTCTCTACGGAAGTTTAGAGATCAAAATTTGAGGTTCCGTGGGAAAATATTAAAAAATAAATAAATAAGAATGTGTAACAAATTATATATTATCAGCACGTTTATATATGAAGAACAAGAAACTATTCGAACCAGATCTCTGTAGCTGTACCACTTGTGTATTAAATTGCAACTGTATTTGCAATCCAGAGACTATGTTTTTTACTAATGCACTTGCCTACACAAGCTAGAATGTGATAGGTTTTGATTAATTAATTTGCTTTCTTACCAGATTGAACAAACCGCCGAAATAGAAGAAAGTACTCGCTCAGCTAATTAAAATATGTTAAGATTCTCATGCATTTTTATACTTTAGAGAAGGAATCTGATACCGTTAATTAAGAGCAAAACTTGACGGGCACATTGTAGCTTGTTTCCCCTTATAAAACTGTTGAGTTACAATTTAAAAGTATTTGAACCAGAAAAAAAAAAAAAAAAAATCGTATTTAGGACATTACATTTATATTTACTATATTGAAGACATTTAAGGAAGGTTCCGTTATGTTGTGCAAAATGTAAGATATATGTAAAAGGGATCATTGGCTAAATTTAATTCGGAAACGTTGCTGTAGATGCATTGCATTATAACAGCAGCAGCAAAAAAAGGCTGTGCTGTCAAACCTTGGTATTTTCTTGTCAAGCCATCAACAAATGTCATTACAAATGTATTCGCCAGTTGTCTTGAACCTTATTCAAGAGAGTGAAATTAGTGATACTGTAGGATCCTCGTCATCCAACGAACGATTTTAATTCAATGCTTCTCATAATCTTCAGATCTAGTATACTTTTAACTGTGTGCATCATTTATGAGCTGTGCTACAATCACTGTGTTTACACGTTTAGTCCAATTTCCAATCAATTATAACAGATATTCAAATTTTATTGTAAAAAGCCTTTATTTTAAATGCTTTGTCTAATAATATATTAATTTAAGGCATTTAAAATAAGCCAAACCAGTGGCGGCTTTATGAAGTAAGTAGCCCATATTATCTAAACTTTTAGAACCCCTCAAATACAGAGTATGATTTCTATAATTAATGATTTGACGGCCTTTTAGAATGCGGAGCCGTAAACGATTCGCCACTTCATAAATCCCCTTAATTATGATATAATCGTAAAATCCGGAAGCGTTTGTGAATTCGTATATGGTCCCTGTCGGTTACCTCCACAATGTGTCTACTCGTTGCGTCATCGATCGTCTCAGCTGGAGACTGGACGGATTGGAGTCGTTTCGAACTTCTCTTTCTGCGAACGATCTGCGCCGATGGATTCATACAAAACAGATCTTTTTTGCCTTGTTACCAATTAATGAAATTGGATCCTGGATAATTGTTTGATTTTACATGATAGTGGGTTGCCACAACGTTGTTAGTAAACATGCTTCTCAAGGTTCTTCTGTGCATCAGTGCCATACACAGACGTTCTTCGTTGAGAGCCGTTGTGTTGCATCTTCGCTTGTTTTGATTTTAAGTGCTTGCATTATTCACGTCATAGTCTTTAAAATTGCCCAAGATATTTAAGCAGGTGCTTTATTATCAAACAGCTCGTTTTGCATCTTGTTTTTTTCTTTTATATTCTTTTCGTTTTTCCTACGCCCTTTTTATTCGAATTTTTATAAAATATATGATATGAAATATCAATAATAGTACCTGCATTTACTGAATATTTTGTAATGAAAGAATTTCGAAAATAACTGTCAAATATTTTGAAACTGTAATTTAATATACATATCAATTTTCTCATTTTGCTCATCTCATTTTTGTATTGCAGGCGTTTAATACAAGAGGCATTGAACAGACAAACTTTTCATCAATTTAAAGCATATGCCGAGAAACAATACCCATCTGATCCAGAGCAGGTCAGTTCAGAATTTTTTTGGAAGTAATTTTTATGCAGATAATTTCTGTTAAAATATATTTGGGTTTCAGTGTTTTAAGCATTTAAGATCTGGTATTTGTTCCAAATTAGAGTTAATAATTATTAAACTATTATATATTAAAAATTATTTGTTTACAATTTTTGTTTCTTAAATTACTTTATTTTAGCAAGCTGTTCTAATAAGGCAGTTGCAAGAACAACACTACCAGCAATACATGCAACAAGTGTTACAGGAACAATTAGCCACAACTCCAAACCACAAAACTTCTGCAGTTAATATGTCAGAAGTAGAAAATCAAAACCAACAAAGTGGCTCTCTGGAAAGTACACCTGAACCATCTGAAGAAGAAATATGTGGTTAGTGGGTTTTATTATATAAATTATAAAACATGAAAGTATAGTAAAACCTTCCATGGCAACCCTTAGAAAGTGACAATTTTCTCTGAGAACACAACTAAGAAATAATATTGAATATCTCTCATAGCCATGGTTTCTAAAACAATTACTTTTGCAAAATTAAAAATTGTGTGCAGCTGAAGATGGCTGTCTCAGGAAGATTTCATTAAATGATAATCTTGTTAAAATAAGAATTTTTTACAAAACTGTGATGCTTAATATAATTATTTATTTAAATGTAATTAAATTTTTTCACTATTTACTTAATTTTCCAAAAGGTATTAAATTTTATTGTAGCTACTGGGGTTTATGAAATATAAAAAATAAATTTAAATGTAAACTGTATATTTAAAGTTTTATTCTTGTAAATTTTTAGCTTACATTTAATTTACGAAGTACATATTTTAATGAGTAATGTATAAATGCATATAAACATAGTAATTAATACAAAATTAATATATGTAACTTAATGAAAATAAATGAAAACTTAGTTTTGTGATCTTTATATTTAAATATGCGTGTAACATATAAAAGTTAAAATTTGATTTTGTTATGATGATAAATAATGGTTTGGTAAACTGAATAAGCATTCAATTTGATACTTGTACTGTGTATCTGTTGGTATGCAAATTATAAATGTGATAGCTCCAGACTAAAGTTATGCTCTGTCATGGAGCATTTTATGCCTTAATGCAATGATTTGTAACTTACTAAATGCTTACATGTAATAGAATTCTGCATTTGTGTACCATCTTTGAAAGAATCAACAATTCTTTTGTTTCCTTAAGAAATAATTTGGTTCGATGCTTCTCATTTTGAAGTGATGTTTTTGAACTTGGATCCACAAAAGCCCAAACTGATTTGAATGAAAATTTTCTGACAAATATGATATTCTTGAGGTTTTTATTATTAAAAATGCAAAACTGCAAAAATTCAAGAATGACAAAAAGCTGTGACCATGACACGGTCTCTGCAGAAAGCTGTGTGAAATGTTAGTTAAAATGGACAAAAGAAAATGTATATTGCTAGCAAAACACTGTCTGTCCCTTAACTTTGCACTTTCAAATGAAACATGGGTGAAGATAAATTGTGCTATCTGCAGTTATATAAAACATCCAACAACTGCACATACCAGAATGTCTTAACTAACATGGATTGGAAGGTACTGGTACTTTTCATCAAAATTAAGCATTGAAATATATCTGCAGTAAATACCTGGTGCCATCATCAAAGAAATAATTTTCCATGTGATATAAGATACACCCTTTATAGTTTTTCTTTCTCCATTCTGACAAATTTTCAATTTGAAATGAAAAATAAATGGTTTAGTTATAATTTGATATAGATTAGAAACTAATCTTGAGAACTTCTATAGCTATCCATTCAGATTGGGATTCATACCCACTCGTATGTATTCAGAATAATAAATATTACTTATTGAACTACAGTATAGTTGCACCCAGGGAAACATCTTTAAGAAAATCTTGGGCCAAAAAAATAATTTTACTAATAAGATGAATTAATTTTTATTCTTAATTATTATTTCTTATTAATAAAAAAATGCTTTTTTTCCCCTGGATTATTGTCTTATCAATAAATAGAAAGTATTCTTTTTCTGTTAATAGTATTTCAATCTTGGTTTTATACTAATAATATACACACATATGTATTTTTATGTTTATTTGTTTTGTAAATTGTTATGTGTTTTGTGTATTTGTTATTCGCATATTTTGTTATGATTGAGATTTGCTTATAAACATCATGCTATATACTGTACATCATGAGCAGTTAGTTAATGATTTTTAAAATAATAAAAATATAACATTACTCTTTATAATTATATATGAGTGCCAAAGTCATATAAATCTGAAAACCATATCCTTTAACTGCATTTGGCCATCTTAATAACCCAATGCAAATCATATTAAATGTTTAGAGGCTCATGGAGGAAATATCTTTAAAGAAACTACACTACTATAAAATCATCAACTTTCCTAAAATCTATTCAGAATGTGGTGGTTATATTCAACCTTGTGAGCAGAAAAAAATTTTTCATGTATATCAAAGAAAATGAAAAGTAGTTCTGAAAAAAAATTCAATTAAGAATATATCTTTAAATGCATTAAGTGTTCCACAAAAACAGAGAGTAAAATTAAAAAGTATATACAGTCAAAAGTCGTTAATCCGGACTCGTCGGGACTTCGGCGATTCCAGATTATAGATCATCAGTTTAAATCTTGTAAGATGGCATGCAGAAATTCTAAAATTAAAAATATCAAACCGTAATTATGAAATAAAGGACAATTATGATCTAAAGGGTATCAAAATTTACAAAAAAAAAAAAAAAAAAAAAAAAGCTTAATATTTATTGTTTACTTTATTAAACATTCTTTCATTGTAAGTGTTTAAGTTGCTTCGTTTTATGTGATAATACTTTCTCTTTAATTCTATAAACAGACATACTTTCTTGTTCAGTTACAAAGTTCCGCTGTTCAAGTCCCGTAATTGCTGCGCCGAGAATACCGACTAACTTGTCAATCGAAATTTTTTCGTTTTCACTAACCTCTCTGTCACCTTCTTCATGTCTTTATTCATTTTTTGCAGCAATTCCACTTTTTGTTTGATGGACATCGAAACATACTTTCGTTTTGTAGACCCTTTGGGAGCTCCAGCATCGGAAATTCTATTTGACATAATCGAAAGTTCAAGTTTACTTTTATAAAATTGCTCTTACAATCTGCAAAAAATAATAAGCCGCATCCAATTCGAAGATTAAGGAACAACGCAATCATCAACATTAACTGAAATAGATAATTAGATAATTTTAGCTTATACCGTCCGTTATACATTAAACGCGCACGCAAAAACGTATTCTGCATTTGCACATACGCATATGCGCAGTCGTAAAGGTCTTATGCGCACGCGTAAATGCCTATGTGCATGTGTCAACGCGGCGCATTTGCAGAAAGTTTTTAGCTTTGAGGTCCGGATTATGGGTGTCCTAATTAACGACGTTTGACTGTATCAGTAAAAAATAAGTTGTTGTCTATCAAAATATTTTTCCTGAATGGTATGCAATGATCCAGTCATTCACTATGACTTGTTGAAGCAAAGCATGTGCTGAAGGCATTTTGTGGAAACTGCACAGTTCAAATAATTTAACTACGTGAATTGAATTTTTTTTTTTTTTTTTCCATAGACCATCTTCTCTGATATAAGAAACAAGCAAAAGAGCTCTTAGCAGGTTTTGACATGTAAGTGAAAGTTATCTTGGTGTAATGCTTATTTCCTCGTTAGTTCATATACCTTTTTTTAATACTTGTTGTCATAAGCGGATCAAGACTGAAGTGTATATCCACCATTGGCTAGTTTTGGAGAAAAGAATATATTGATATACCTATACAATTTTAAAAAAAGAAGAAGAAGAAAATCCAGGCAATTTTGTTTGACAATGAATAGTTTTGGGGGATGGGAAGATAGAGAATAAGTATACTAAATCAGAAGTCAAACAACAAAAATCAGCGTTAATTTACAAGATTTTCACAGGACTAGTTTCGATGGTTTTACCGAACCATCATCTTCAGCTGCAAAACCGCAAATGAACAAGATAGGAAATAATGTTTAGATAAGATAAGAAAGCCTGGACAAGAATAAGCAAGTGGCGCCATCTGTTGGCGAAACCAGAACTAAAACATAATTTCTCTAAAAGCCGAAGGCAAATTTGGATTGGAATTAGGATCGGTTAACTAGAACAAAGATTTTTATGAATGTGAAATGCCTCTAGAAAATCCAGTTCTCCAATGGAAGATGTTTTTTGAATAATTTGGCAGCAGAAAAATTGAAAGTGTGATTTTCGGACCAACAATGTTGAGCAACAGAAGACTTCTGTGTTTCCTTTTTTCTAACATATGCCTCTGTTCTTTGACGCGAAATTTTAAGGCTCTCTTTTGGCCAATGTAAATTAAACCGCACTGGCAAGGAATCCTATAAATACCCCAGGAATTCATATCCGGAATGGGGTTGAGATATAGAAGTTGGAATTTTATTGATGGGAGAGTAACAACCCGAAAAGTTAAATTTGCAAAATATGTGCAACTTTATAGCTAATTGATGGAAAGAAGGGAATGACAACAGAATTTTTATAATCTCCTAAAATAAGAGTGTGGCTTTTAGTGTGTTGAGATGAGAATTTTTAACTGCTTGATTATAATGTTGGGTGAAAAGCCCCTGTCATAGCTATTGCTTTTAAATAATTTAGTTCTCATCAAGGCTAGTTTGGAGGAGCAAACTTGAAGAGCACGGAAAACATAGGAATAAAATGAAGCTAACTTTTGTTTAGTCGGATGACATGATTTAAAGTGTGGTGGAAGGCAAACCGATGAAGGTTTACGGTAAACTGTAGTACTGAAGTTGGATGTGTTACGTTTGACCAGAAGTCGAGAAACGGAAGAGAATTGCAAGTCTCAAGTTCAAAAGTGAACTGAATAGCAGGATCAATAGAATTCATTGTTGAAAGAACTCTATTTAAATCATCTTTATTACCTTCAAACAGGGTAAAGTATCGTCTACGTAGCGGAACCATGCCGGGAAGTTTAAAGTTTCAAACAATTTTGATTCATAATAATGCTGTAGATATCAGCCAGGATGGGATGAGGGGCTTCCCATGGCTAATCCCTCAGTTGCTTGTAATATTTATTTGGAAAACAAATGTGTTTGTTCAAACAGAGTTGAGTGAGAGAAATTAGCTCATCAATTTCGATGCAAGAGAAATGAAATTCGCGAAGTCTGGTTTCTAGACACTTAATGCACCCTCCACTGGACATTGGTGAATAATGATTTACATCAAAAGAAACCATGAGTAAATTACGAGAGAAATGTTTTTAAACCTTTTTACAAACTATTGAAATTTTTTATGGTGTAAATGGTTATTGTCTAATAGAGTGGAAAATCTAGACACTAAATTTTAGCTAATGGATAGAGGCAGTACCTAAATTTGATACAATAGGGCGGAAAGGAATACCACTTTTATGAATTTTGGGAAGAGCATATAACCTGGCACAATTCGCAACAGATGTTAAATAGAGTTCTTTCAACAATGAATTCTATTGATCCTGCTATCAGTTCACTTTGAACTTGAGACTTGCATTCTTTCCGTTCTCGAATTCTGGTCACACGTAACACATCCAACTTCAGTCTACAGTTTACCGAAACCTTCATCGGGTTGCCTTCCACCACCTTTTAAATCATGTCATCCGACTAAACAAAGTTAGCTTCATTTTATTCCGATGTTTCCGTGCTCTTCAAGTTTGCTCCTCTCCAAACTAGCCCTTGATGAGAACTAAATTATTTAAAAGCAATAGCTATTGACAGGGGCTTTTCACCAACATTATAATCAAGCAGTTAAAAATTCTCATCTCAACACTAAAAGCCACACTCTTATATTAGGAGATTATTAAAAAATTCTGTTGTCATTCCCTTCTTTCCATCAATTAGCTATAAAGTTGCACATATTTGCAGAAAATTAACTTTCGGGTTGTTTATCTCCCATCAATAAAATTCCAACTTATATACTCAAGGACCCCATTCGGATATGAATTCCTGGGTATTTATAGGATTCCTTGCCAGTGCGGTTTAATTTACATTGGCCAAACTAAGAGAGCCTTAAATTCGCGTCAAAGAACATGAGGCATATGTAGAAAAAGGAAACACAAGTCTTCTGTGCTCAACATTGTTGGTCCGAAAATCACACTTTCAATTTCTGCTGCAAAAATTATTCAAAAAACATCTTCCATTGGAGAACTGGATTTTCTAGAGGCATTTCACATTCATAAAAATCTTTTGTTCTAGTTAACGACCTAATTCCAATCCAAATTTGCCTTCGGTTTAGAGAAATTATGTTTAGTTCTGGTTTCGCCAACAGATGGCGCCACTTGCTTATTCTTGTCCAGGCTTTCTTATCTTATCTAAACATTATTTCCTATCTTGTTCATTTGCGGTTTTGCAGCTGAAGATGATGGTTCGGTAAAACCATCGAAACTAGTCCTGTGAAAATCTTGTAAATTAACGCTGATTTTTGTTGTTTTGACTTCTGAATTAGTATTTTTCGGCGTGTATTGTGTCTAATTATAGAAGCCCCAAACAGGCTTACATTTTGCTTTCTTTTTTGCACGTGGTGTGGCCGCCATTTTGTGATTGTAGGAGTTTCGGTGAGTACATTTTTGCAATTTTCAAGTTATTTATGTTTGTACATTTGGATATTGTGCTTTGCTTGTCTGATTTCATGCATTTGCTTACAAACATTTTGTTTCTATTCATTTCAGTGAGGATTTTTTCTGCTATTTGTGTGTACTTTATTATTTGTCTCAGTTAATTTAGTTTGATTTTCTGCATTGTTTATCATGCCTTCATCCGTTAATCGTTTCACTAATTACGCCTGAAACGGCAAAAATTCCTGAATCATCTTGACTTTTTACTTAAATGTAAATGTAAAAAATTGATCCCAATTTTATTCAAATCAAATCTAATCAAAAACCTTCGAGAGTCGCGTTTCAAGAATTCTGTTAAATTGCAAACTTGCCTTACTTCGGTCCGTAATAAGGGATACACGTCAACAATTGTCCAAAATTGAACATGAACTCTATAAGCTTCATCTGGAACTCGCTAAAACATATCATAAAATTCACTGCCCTTGAACAAAAGTCTTGGTCTAGAACGGAGAATGCAGTTAACCGTCATAAAAAACACCCTTGCAGTTAAATTCGGAAAACTTCTTTTACAGTCTTCCAGTCCAAGTAGTTCAAAAATCTTCCCATTGTAAACATCAAGCCAATAGTTAATTTTTCTAATGTTAGTCTTTCAGAAGAACAAAGAGAATTCTAAAATATAATTTTAACTTCTCACAAACTGTAAACCCTCGATTCCAAAGATTTTGGCTCCTATTGAAAAAGCTTTCAAGTTCAGTAAAGTTTCAGATTCACAGAAAGAAATGATTAGGCATCTTATCGCTCATAATGTGAAATTCAATAATAAACCTTTGAAAACCAAATCTAACTGCGAGAGAAAGAGCTACAATGCGCGAGATTCATTCTAACCCGGATATTGTCATTTCAAAGGCCGACAAAGGTGGCCAGATAGTCGTCATGGATAAGAACACTTACATCGATGGTGTCACTAAACTCTTAAACGAAGGACCATATAATCCGATCCCTAAAGATCCTTCACCTTCGGATTATCCAAAATAAAAACTGCGATCAAATCTTCGCAAATCATTTCAAGCAACTTAAAACATTCGCTTATCCCATCTGTTGCGAATTGTGCCAGATTATATGCTCTTCCCAAAATTCATAAAAGTGGTATTCCTTTCCGCCCTATTGTATCAAATTAGGTACTGCCTCGTATCCATTAGCTAAATATTTAGTTTCTAGATTTTCCACTCTATTAGACAATAACATTTACACCATAAAAAATTCAATAGAGTTTGTAAAAAAGGGGTTAAAAAACATTTCTCCTCGTAATTTACTCATGGTTTCTTTTGATGTAAAATCATTATTCACCAATGTCCCAGTGGAGGGTGCATTAAGATGTCTAGAAACCAGACTTCGCGAATTTCATTTCTCTTGCATCGAAATTGATGAGCTAATTTCTCTCACTCAACTCTGTTTGAAACAAACACATTTTGTTTTCCAAAATAAACATTACAAGCAACTGAGGGATTAGCCATGGGAAGCCCCCTCAGTCCCATCCTGGCTGATATCTACATGCATTATTATGAATCAAAATTGTTTGAAACTTTAAACTTCCCGGCATGGTTCCGCTACGTAGACGATACTTTTACCCTGTTTGAAGGTAATAAAGATGATTTAAATAGAGTTCTTTCAACAATGAATTCTATTGATCCTGCTATTCAGTTCACTTTTGAACTTGAGACTTGCAATTCTCTTCCGTTTCTCGACATTCTGGTCAACGTAACACATCCAACTTCAGTACTACAGTTTACCGTAAACCTTCATCGGTTTGCCTTCCACCACACTTTAAATCATGTCATCCGACTAAACAAAAGTTAGCTTCATTTTATTCCTATGTTTTCCGTGCTCTTCAAGTTTGCTCCTCCAAACTAGCCCTTGATGAAGAACTAAATTATTTAAAAGAATAGCTATTGACAGGGGCTTTTCACCCAACATTATTAATCAAGCAGTTAAAAAATTCTCATCTCAACACACTAAAAGCCACACTCTTATTTTAGGAGATTATAAAAA